TAGGTAGGTAGGTAGGTAGGCAGGTAGATAGACAGAGAGAATGGAGAGGATGGATAGATATAGATAGATGGATGGATGAATGGATGGATGGATAGGACAGACACAGAGAGACTAGACAGATACCGCCTTACCGCCTGCCACCTTCATACGTACGCAAATGGCATTGATGTCGGACTCGTGGCCGGTGAAGGTCTGCCTGCACATCCCTTCTCGGACATCCCACAGCTTGGCTGAGGCATCGCAGGCACCAGACACGAAACACTTGGAATCCGGAGCGAGAGATAAGCTCATAACATCGCCGGTGTGGCCGGTGAAGGTGGTGGTTTGCTGTCCGGTTTCTATGTCCCACAGGGCGCTGCGGCGGTGCAGGAGAAGAAAAAAAGCCCCCATCAGATCAACTGAGTTTAAGTCTGCTAAGGGTGTCTCTCCCCCCCCCCCCGCCTTCCTTAGCTCTCTGCTGGATTCATGCACACAAATAAGGTTAAGTTGACGGACAGGTCTCCCCATCTCTGACTCGCAGGCCTTAAAAAGACAAGACCCCCCTCTTTATTTTCAATTTTTTCTCTCTCTTTTTTTAAAAGCAGGTATCTCCATTATCTGAAGGGGTTTATAAGAGGCCAACGCTCTGTAGGCTGCTGGGACAGAACAGGGAGATCCCAGCCTTCAAAGCCAAGTATTGCCGTTTGTGCGAGATAAACGGACGGCCGCATCGATCTACGGCAGTGGTTCTCAACCTTTTTAATGCCGCGACCCCAACCGGTTGTAAGTCGAGGACTAAACCGGTCGTAAGTCGAGGACTAAACCGGTCGTAAGTCGAGGACTAAACCGGTCGTAAGTCGAGGACTACCCAACCGGTCGTAAGTCGAGGACTTTCCCTGCCCGGGAGCGCCGCACATGTGTGGTTCCGCCCCCTGCGCCGGCCGAGGCGTAGCTGGCAAGCGGCAGAGACGGAGCAGGCCGACCACCAGCTGGCCCAGCCCAAGGGAGGTAAGGCACCCGCCGGAAAAGGGGGAAAAATATGGCGGACAAAAAAAATGGCGGACAGCCTTGCTTGGCGACCCCCATGAAATGGTCGATCGACCCCAAATGGGGTCCCGACCCACAGGTTGAGAACCACTGATCTACGGAAATCAAAGCAGGGACTGAGACGGAAAAAAAAAGACGTTCATTCTAGGCCAAGCAGGATACAAACTGGTTTCTCTGACTATCATAAAAATCTTGATTAAATCTGGGGGAAAGGACTCTCTTTTTTTTTTTCCTAGGGATCATCGAGAGGGGGGGGGGATTGGTGGCAAATCCAACAGGGATTGTGATTCCTAATAGCAGCAGGCAGAAGCTTTTGGGATACTAAAAATAAACCCTCTGCTTGAGCATTTGAGCTCGGAACAGTCTCCCATTTTATGTTTCTGCAGGATTTCAAGGCTGGCAGGGGAGAACGGTGTTTCGACCGGAAAAAAAAATCAATGTTTTGTCGAGTACGCAAACCCTCGACACTCGTGCTACCAAGTCTGGATCTTACCAAGTGGTGTCTCCAGAGCTGGTCACAATCTGATTATCATCCACAAACCGGCAACAAGACAAATAGCCTGAAAAAAAAGAGAAAAGTGAGAGATGGGGGCCAGCACCTCCGAGTCGGTCCAAACAAGGAACCCAAATCGTTGAGGACTAGCACCGCTAAGGTTACAGCCACAGAATCTTGGAACTCTGAAACGCGTGACCACCCCCCTCCCCTTGCCTTTACAGGTGGGTCCTCAACGTGCAACGGTTTTGTTTAGTGACTGTCTGAAGTTATTATTATTATTATTATTTATTATTTATTACATTTATACCCCGCCCTTCTCCTGGTGGACTCAGGGCGGCTTACAGCCAGTTTAAAACAAAACAATCAATACAATATACACAATTTAAAATGTAGTTAAAAAGAAATATTAATATCGGCCTTTTCTTCCTTTTTTAAAAGTTATTTAAAAACCAAATTTAAAATACCCCTTAGGCCAGTCCTGCCAGCTGAAATAGCCATGTCTTGAGGTTACAAACAAGCCCTGGGAAAAAAGTGACTTATGACCGTTTTTCACACTTGTGACCACTGCCGCGTCCCCTCGGTCTTGTGACCGAAATCAGACCGCTTGGCAACTGACTCATATTTGTGACGGTGTCACGGGGTCTCCTTTTGTGACCTCCTGACAAGCAAAGTCAGGGAGGGAGGGAGAAAGCTTAAGATTCGCTTAAGAAAAGTCGTAAAACGGGGCGAAGCTCGCTTAACAACAGAAATGTTGGGCTCAATTACAGTCGTAAGTCGAGGACTACCTGTACTTTCCAGGAGGGTCCCTTCTAAACACTTCCCACCCAGCCCCAGCCCCTCATTCCTTCAGAGGGCTGCGATTTCTCTTCTCTAACAGCTGAACCCGACTTCTTCCTCCTTCTGTCTCCCAAGGTTATTCTCACAACCCAATAATAGAAAAATACGTGTCATTCATTACAGGGAACTTCCACATCCGGAGCCTTGGTTCGTCACCCACCCTCCCGCCCCATTTCAAGGGCCGGGAGAGACAAGTGACCCAGGGTGTCTCGGGACAGGATCGGATCCAGCGAGGTGTCTCAGGAGAGCTTCAATCAACCAAAGGCCGGAGGGGAAAAAATGGTTACAGCCCTTTGCCATAAACCCTTTTTCCTGGCTTCAAGTCAGGTTTATTCGGGATATGCTCCCGTCTGACTCTCACCTGTAAACCTGGCTGGGTTTATAAATAGCTCTTGGCTGCCGTTATAACCTCGGCTCCTCCGCCCGCCCTCCCCGGAGAGCTGTTTCCAGAAAACTGCTTTTAGTCTCCATCCAAAAAGCCTGCAGCAGTGCGAAGCCAGCAGGACGCACAACTTTGCCAGGCTGTGTGCGTGTGTGTCTCTTTTAAGGACCGCCAAAGGTTTTTCCGGAACCAAGCTGGCGAGTGGGAGGAAGAGTCTCTGAGCTTGAGTTGCACCTTCAAGTCTTTTTTTAATTTTTTTTCTTTTGCAAACAGAAAGAACAGATTTGTGATTTTGTGATTTGTGATTTTATTAGATTTATACCCCGCCCTTCTCCTGGCGGACCCAGGGCGGCTTACAGCAAGCTAAAAACAGATAAAGACCCTACAAACACCGTTTTAAAATATAACTAAAAGAAATATTAATTTTGCCGTTTCATTTAAAATTTTTGTTAACACCCAATATAAAATCAAATTAAAATCCAATCTAAAATACCCCTCAGGCCAGCCCCGCTAGCTGGAATAGCCATGTCTTGAGGGCGCGGCGGAAGGAGGGGAGATCCGGAGTTGTTAACAGAGTTAACAATAGGGGCCTGCTGGATATCCTGGTGAGCAAGTGGGCTTCTTGGCTCGGGAGAGGAGTTGTGTTACCTCACAACTCCAGAGTTAAGAAGCTGCATAGAGCAGAGGTGGGCTATGGCTACCTCTAGGGACCAGGGCCCCGAGGAAGGATCCAAATTTCTCCCTGGGCTGTGCTAGGATATATTAAAATAATCTGTAGCGACGGGCCCATCTTTAGGCATTAAATTACCCTGCCTTTCCTGTAGAACAAGAGGTGTCCAGCCCTGGCAGCTTTAAAGACTTCAACTCCCAGAATTCCTCAGCCAGCCTCTGGGAGTCGACATCCCCAGGTCTTACAAGTTGTCGGGGTGGGACACCTCTGCTCTAGAAGGGAAATATCTACCAGGGTGATAGAGATTCAAAGCTCTAAACTGGAGGCCACAGCGTACTTGGGAACATCTGAAACCAAACACCTTGTCTCCTGGGATTGTGTGTGGAGGACAAGGGCGTGAGCTGAGATGCGGCGGTTTTTTTGGCTCAGAGACAACCATCAGCCCGCCCAGGTGATGAGTCTTCCGAGGTCAAGTGGGGTTTGAGGTGGGATCTTCTCCACGCAGGACCTGGTTCAGTCCAACAGTGCATTTTCCTACAACACAGATGAGTTATTTGATCTTTCCAACTGGGGTGGCCAGTTGGTCGGACCCAACCTGTCCTCAGGTGTGCAACGACCTGACAAGGAGACGAATCCTAATCCTTGGGCTGGGCAAGCAGAGGCACATCCAAATCAGATCCACCCGTCTCTGCCTGCTGTATGTATCTTTGCAAGTTTGTTGTGACCTTTCCTGCGTTGTGTATACTTGCCAAGCCAAAATCAAACCATCAAAACCTGGTGTGCATGGATGCACAGGTATACAGCCCCCGTCTCTTACAACAGAGCCCTCGTGCTTTTTATTCAAGTAGAGCATCCCGACACGTGGCTGAAACCGCCCGTTATTCAACTCTGGGTCTCCTGCCCGAGCAACGGGGTTGGACTAGAAGACCTCCAGGGTCCCTTCCCAACTCTGGTTATTCTGTATCCTGCAGTTGTCGAGGATCACTGACTGGATCCTCCGACGATAGGATCAACGCCTCGGTTAATCCGCAAGGAGGCAAGCACAGCTGTACTGGATTTCTTTGCGAAATAAAATTTTTCACCCTCCAGGTGTGTATTTGCATCACTGCCCTCACACCTGATCTCCGCCAAGAATAACAAACGTTCCCAAAGGAGTCTCACACAAACCAGAACGACTCAATCTCACACAAGACAGAATGATATATTTTTTTTTTAAAAAAAGCAGACGCTGTCCATCCTTTTAGTCCTGAACCCTTTTAAAACCCGATGCCCCAAACCGAGATTCATATTCCATCCGTTGATCCTCTTAACCCTTCGTTCGTTTTTATTAGCGTTCTGAACTTAGTAACCCTGAATTTTGTGGGATGGCACTGCAAATGGACAGATGCTGATTCAGAGATATTCCCAAGGCCCCCGCTGCGGAGGAAGAATTTCTCTGGATAATTATGCCTAAGTCTATTAGGATAAAAGTGAGATTGTCGACTTTTTACTGGCGCTCGGGGGGAACTCACCCCCCCCAAAGCTATTTGGCATATTGAACAGCTTAATCTCTTGGGACAGATGTGGTCAGTTCTCTCTCTCTTCCTCTACGATTGGGGGTAGACAGCATCACTCAACCACTAAGTAATATCTTGCAGAACCTTCCTATATCCTAGCCAAATTCCCAGCCTCTGTGCTACATTCAATCTGGAGAAGTGAAGTTTATACACCCACAGAACAAGGAGGCAGCCAATTCAACAGCCTTTTTAAAAAGCAGGGCGTGCTTCTGATTGGCAGACTTAAAAATGCCCAGCATACCAAGATGGGCCAGGGACTCTGGGAGTTGAAGTCCACATATTTGGGCAAAGCAAAATCCTGGGAGCTGAGTGTCTACTCGCCCCAAGAGCTCTGTTAGTAGCGTTGACACTCTGCCCAGGCATTGCCACCTGACACAAGGTGATTGGGAGTGGCACAAAAATTACCCAGAATTGGGGATATATGCAGGAGTCGCCCAGCAAACAAGCTGACGGCGTTTCCAAGGGCGCAGCACCATCCAGAGGTCAAAGGAACTGAGTCTGGATGGGAGGTGGACGTTACCTGTGTGGCCGGCCAGCTCGCGGCTTACTCGGACGTTGCCTTCGCGCGTTTTCAAGTTGTAAATGGAACAAATGTTATCGAGACCACCGCAGGCCACGTAGTTTCCGGAAGGGGCGTACGCGCAGGTCATGACCCAAGAGGAACGCAAAGGGATGGCATGGACCTAGCCAAAAATATGGGGAAAAAAATAATAACGCAGGCTTGTGGAGCGAAGTTGCGTTGAAGTGTCTTTGAATTGATTTGCTGCAATTCAACAACAACCACAAGGAAATTAGTTCGGCTCTCACCTTGTTTGTGGTGTAGCTGTCCCAGATGATCAGTTTTCCATCTTGTGATGCACTAACTAGAAGCCTAGAAGGGTAGACGAGGGAGAATAAATGGTGTTGTTTTTTGTTTTGTTTTTGCTAATCATACAGTGAACTGGTCCAGATTGGCCTCAATCGATCGATCAAATCCTTCGCAAGAGTTTCCCAGCAAACCACATCTTTATTCCAGGAACTGTATCGGTTGCTCCGACACTGCTTGGACCCTGAAGCTTGGAAGGCAGAAATCTGTGCATATCTTTTATTAAATGGCCATTTCACCATCCAAACAGAGTCACAGGAAACCCCTGTACAGTTAATCCTCAAATCACGACCGCGATTGGGATCAGAACTTGCATTGCCAAGCAAAGCAGTGGCTAAGGGAATCACACTCAACTGTACAACCTTTTTGGTCATTAAGCAAAGCACACAGTCATTATGCAAACTGACCTTCACCCACTGACTTTGCTCATTGGAAGCTGGCAATGATGTGACCCTGGGACACACGCCCACTGTCATAAACCCATGCCTGAATTTTGACCTTGTGACGGTAAGGGAAGGTACATGGTTGCACGTAATCTTGGAACGGTCACTAAACGAGCAGCTGTCTGTTGAGGACTATCTATGTTATATAAGGCTGAACCTGGGAAAGTGTTATTGGTCAAAATGGATCGGAGTTGATCTGAAAGTAATCGGGATAGATCTGCTGGCATCTTTTCTGTGGGATTACAAAGACCCAGCGATCTGCAAAAGGCCTAACACAGATTGTAGTATTTTATAGTGCAGCGCTATTTATTATATATATATTGAATCTGAGAATTAATTACGCTAAAAATCCGACTCTTGGGAATCATAGTAAACGAATAAAACCGAGCACCAAGAGAAGTAAAGTATTGAATCTGCGTATTTTAAATGGTGCTTGTCGACTTTAGTGTGTTAACTCTAAGCTTGTTCTACGTTCGAATTCTGTTGTGACACAGTTAATAAACATCGTTTAAAAAAAAAAAAGAGTTAACGCAGATTATTTGACTTGAAGAAACAAACTCAAGTCATTAGTTAAGATTCTTTTCCTTGGATTAAAAACAGCCCTTCCGATACAGCTTCGGTCAATTCAGGAAAGGGGGGAAGGGGGGGGAAGAGAAGGGCTGCTGCCTTTTTGAAGAGCAAGTTCAGTTCTCTCTGTCAACAAAGAAGAATAAATGTTAACTTTACTTGTCAGCATCGCTTAATATTCTCGGTTCTGCAGCAGGAAAGCACAATTACAAAACTCAATAAGGACTAGGGTGGCTTGGCTGAAATAACTCTTTCCTCGCCGTGTTTGCGTTTCAGAGCTTTGTCTGAAAGCTCCGTGCAAAAAAAAATTAACGGACCCGAAGCTCTCGCCGACATCCCTTATGGTCAAGTATCACATATGTCCTTGACTTACAACTGCTTTGTTTAGTGACCATTCAAAATTCCAACAGTGCTGGAAAAAAGTCCCCAGGCCAACAGCCATTCCTGCCGTCGCGTAATCAGAATTTAGGTGCTGGGCAACTGGCCTGTATTTTCCACGGCCGCAGTCTCCCAGGGTCATGTGATCACCATCTGACACGCTCCCGGCCAGTTTCCGACAACAAGCACAGTCAATGGGGGAAGCCAGAATCCCTTAACGACCGCCTGGTTCACCAAGAACTGCACTGATTTGCATGTCACCCGTGACCCCCCAAAAAAGCTTGCAAAATTGGGGTGCAACTCAACAACTGCAGTGGAAATCCTGGTCCCAATTAAGGTCGTAACTAGAGGATTAACTTATCATCTGTTGTGTTGTACAAAGCAGCAGCACAACCAGGAATCTCTTCTGACTCACCCATTCTTCCCACTTTCCTTCTATCTCCCCCCCCTCCGCTTCCCTCTGATGATGATGATGATGATGAGGAGGAGGAGGAGGAGGAGGAGGAGGAGGAATCCTTGGTCTCCAACCTTGCTGGGGACAACCTGTCCAGCCCAGGTAACCTACCTGGAATCGGTTCCCCAGTGCATTGCGTAAATTTTGGCCAAGTGTCCCCGCAGAGTTCTTCTAGTGCGCATCTGAATACGACCCACAGGATCAATGTTGGCTGTGATCTGAAGAGAAGAATTGCAGATAATCTGTCAGCAGCGGCAACTACCCAAAGGTGTGTGTGTGTGTGTGTGTGTGTGTGTGTGACAGAGAGAGAGAAGGGGGGAGGGAGAGAGGGGAGGAGGGGAAGAGAGGGAAGGAGGGAGAAAGAGAGAGGGAGAGGAAGAGAGAGAGAGAGGGAAGGAGAAAGAGAGGGAGGGAGAAAAGAGAGGGAAGGAGAGAGAAAAGAGAGGGAAGGAGAAAGAGAGGGAGGGAGAGAGAAAATAGAGAGGGAAGGAGAAAGAGAGGGAGGGAGAGATGGAAGGAGAAAGAGAGGGAGGGAGGGAGAGAGAAAAGAGAGAGGGAAGAAGAGAGAAAGAGAGAGGGAAGGAGAAAGAGAGGGAGGGAGGGAGAAAAGAGAAAGGGAAGGATTCGCTATAGCAGGGGTGTCCATACCTGGCAAATATAAGACCTGTGGACTTCAACTACCAGAATTCCCTAGCCACCCATGCTGGCTGGAGGATTCTGGGAGTTGAAGTCCGCAAGTCAGTGGCCAAGGCTGGGCACCCCGGACCTATAGTATGAGGTAATAGTAAAAGGGTTGTATGTCTGCAAGGTCTTAAGTATTAACAGCTCAGGGGAACTTGTTAAAACGTGAAGGTGTCACAAAAAAGGTCTGGCTGCCCAAAATAAACAGACTTTCTAAGAAACCGCTTGTAAAAAGGAAACAGCCTTCCACACAGTTTCCTCGTAATGTGGCCTAAGTAAACATCAAGGCTTGTATTTCGGTGACAGGGCAATCAACGCATCGAACGTTTGTAGCATAAACACCACAGGGGCAACAATATACTGTATGTCTGCGTATTTGCGCTGTCTCCGTACAACAGTCGTAGCTTAGCAAAATGCAGGCTGCTTCCTGGAACCAAGATCACAGATAAAGAATATTCATGGCTAACTCTTGGTCTGTTAGCCTTCTAAGCCTAGTTTGAAGAGGGCAAACTGATCAGAGCCACTTAAGTCATCCTTAAGAAAAGGAGAGCAAAATGGGGCCAAAATCACTAACAACTGTTTTCGGTTAGCAACGGAAATTTTGGGCTCAACTGTGGCCATACCTCAAGGAGCACCCCATAGGCCATTTTCGAGGGCCACAAAATGCTTTGATTAAATTTCACACACACACACACACAGGCGCAGAGCTTACCTGGGCCAAGGTAGCGTCGGCACACGCTTTCCTAGCATCCTGCAAGAAAGAAGAATGTTTGAATGCTTGCAGAGGAGAAACAAACCAATAAACCAACAAAAAAAATTAACCCCAATTTTTGGTCTGCTCCCGTTTTAAAATTACTGTTAGCTGTCCATAAACGCATACATAAATTTATTTATGCATAAACGCATAAATAAATACCTGGGAGGAGGTATTTATCAGAAGCTTATATATAATCTGCCAAGAATTTAGAAAGCCTATTAGAGGCAGCATCTCCACTCGATCAAATGGCAAAAAGGGCGATTAGGGCGAACGGGAGGACGGGCGCGCAAAAGGCTCCAGACAAGCTAAGCCGGATAATCCCTTTGTGAAACCCCTTTCCGCTGGGCATCGCAGGCGGCTTCAAGCTGCAGAGTGCCCACGTTTGGGCAAGTGTTAAACAGCCACTCCAAGTTTTATCCCGTTACTCTAAGTCGGGGCTAAGAGGGAATGCCGTAATAGGTTGCAATCCGGTGGAATAGATTTAAATACAATTCCGCAGCTCGGCCGGCTCAGGGATTAGAATTTAAGGCAATTATGTCTCGTCAATCATGAGGTTAGGTTCCCTTGCCCTAATATATATATATATAGCAATATTTTCCATATTGGTCAGAGGATCCAGTAGTTCTTTCAAGAACAGTTGTTTCTCAAGCTTAGGCATTTTAAGATGTGTGGCCTTCAACTCCCAGGATACTCCAGCCGGCGTGTATTCTGGGAGTTGAAGTCCACACATCTTAAAATGCCTTAAGGTTGGGAAACACTGCTTGAGAAAATAGGAAAGCTGAGATCCGGACAGAATTTCCCCCAAAAGCTTCTGCTGGATTTTGACTCTGATTTTCAGCACAAGATTGTTTCATGCTTGACCTATTTATATCAGAGAAAATCAGCGGATGGCATCTGAGCTTTGTTGCATTCTCACAGGTGTTTCATCACCCAACTAGGTAACACCATCAGTGCTCGAGGGAGTGAGGTTTGCTCCCTTTCCTAGCACTGATGATGTCACCTAGCTGGGTCATGAAATGTCTGCAGAAAACCACCAAGCTCAGAGGGCACCAAGGACCCCACAGTTCAACCCGGAGCTACAACTAGTCTCTTCAATTGGTAAATCTAGTTTATCTTCCCTCAACCCAATGCCTTCAAGCATGGGCAAAAAAGGATGATACACTGGTAGACCAAATATGTAGTGAGGTAAGTTGCCATACTGTCCCAGTATCAATCTGCAAAGATCTGTAACATTTTTTTTTAAATGCTTCGTAGCTTTCAAATTCCAAACAGAAAAAACGTTCCTATGTGGAGATTGTTAAGATATCTAGGGTTTACTACCACCCCTGTTCGGCCTGGGATGCTGGAGACAGGCTAGGCCAGGGGTAGGCAACCTTGGCTCTTTTATGACTGGTGGACTTCAACTCCCAGAATTCCTGAGCCAGCCATGCTGAGGGGAAAAGGAGAGGCTTCCAAGCTGAGCCGTGCTAGCTCAGGAATTCTGGGAGTTGAAGTCCACCAGTCATAAAAGAGAGGGCAAGTAAAGGGTGGCATAAGCATCACGTCTATATTTTCCCCCAGGCCCAAATCTTTGGAAATTCTATAAACCAAAAAGTTCTCAGGAATATCTCCCTGAAGAAGGAGAGGAAAGGAATTAATACATACTCTGATTTGGTTTTTTAGTTGCTCAGCCTCCTGGCGTAACTGATCAAGTTCACTCATCTTCCCGCGCTACAGGTGTGCAGCTCTGACACTCCTTAGAAGCTTAAAAACCTGCAAAATCAATAAATAGTGGCATAAATAGAGGGAACCAAATAGTCACACCGACGTGCACATCCCAAAATCTCGGGTTACGTACAAGGCAGTCCTTGACTTACGGCAAGAATCGAGCCCAACGTTTCTGTTGCTAAGCGAGACATGTGTTGAGCGAGTTTCGCCCCGTTTTACGATTTTTTTTCTGGCCAGTTGTTAAGTGAGTCACTGCAGCTGTTTTAAGTTAGTCATATGGTTGTTAAGAGAATATTTGCTTGCCAGAAGAACTGAAGAAGCTCCCTGGATGAGAAGTGAAATGTCTTCAAGGAAAAACAAGGTCCCGTTGACTTTGGGAAGAAGAAAAAAAAACACCTTTGGAACAAGATGGCTAAGAGTTTGTTCCGAATTCCCTCAAGCCGGCTCTCTTCCAGAAATGAGAATTAGGACCAGACAGGTCCTAATTCCAAGTGGTTCATCCCAAGAATGGCCATTCCTGGAGAAGGCAACAAGGCCAACGAAGAGCTACGTCTGGATTCTTCGCAGGACCTCACCGGCTTCTCCAAAACCGAGGGGGAGGCCAGGAGAGGGGAAAATGACCCATTTTCAGCCTACAGCCTTCCTCCACCGGCTTCCTGCTCATGCAAAAATCACCAGTTACTTTATCTCAAGCCTAATTTTAATGAACTTCAGGGCTGGTCAATTATGGATGCTGCAATGTTCCAAAAGCCAGCAAGCTTGAAGTCCGCAGCCTGAACGGGAGGCGATGAATAAAATGGGATCCAGGTCGCCAAAGGGCCCTGCTTGCCTTCGAAACAGCTGGAGATCTGCAGCCATCCTGTTTTAGCCTCCAGCCCCCTGATCATCTTTGTGGCTCTTCTCTGCACTCTTTCTAGAGTCTCAACATCTTTTTTTTAAATATCAGGGTGACCAAAGCGGGATGCAATATTCCAAGTGTGGTTTTACCAGGGAATTATAAATCTAATGAATGAATGAATGCTTTGCCGACAATTTCTACAGCCAAGCACGTTCAGATGCATCTTCATGATTCAGTCACCTTTCCAAATAGGCTTGTCTTCTCCTCTTGAACAGAAAGGCCATTTTTATAGCCCAACGGCTAAACGGGGGAAAAACAAACTCGAATCGCCAATTTCAACGGTCACTTGTAATGAACCAAAAGTCCACCTGGAAAATATTTTCTAGGCAGGAGGGTTATTATTTTACCCAGCGATTTATTTTCAATGGTGTTGTTGTACTCCCCTATTTACACAGAAATTAAATTAGGTTTTCTGCCTCTCGGCCAAACGGCGCTACAATCAGAAAAAGATCGAAAAAGGATGAAGTTCATCAAAGGATGCTATCCGGTATCTTCAAACGCAGCGACCAAATTGGAGAAAGCGATGCTAATTACTTAAAGTCACCTAGTTAACGGCTGTTAAGCCACTGAAATGAAGTTCTAATTACCTGTAGCTAACTGTGCTACAGAAGGAAGGGAGAGCGAGAAAGGGAGGGAGAGAAAGGGAGGGAGGGAGGAAGGAGAGAAAGGGAAGGAGGAAAGGAAGGATTGTAAATTGAGGACTACCTGTAATCTAGCCTAGAAACTTCCCAACATGAGCTATCTTAACCAAGTTATCCTCACCCAGGAAGGACTGCAGCTGATGAACTAAAGACAAACAATTGGAAAACCTAACCAAGAATATTAATACCACGAGAAAACATGGAATAACTGTCATGGCGGTGTGTCCCCGACCCCGGAAGAGAGTGGCCTCTTGCTGTAATCTCATTTGGTCTTGCAGACTCTTGACCCTCTCTCTACCCAGGTAGATCTGGTAAGGTTTCTAAACCAAAGACAGACATCTAATCCCACCCAATTCCCAATAGGCTTAAAAGCATCACGATCCCTTGGCAACGGGATCCAACGGCTGGCAAACATCTGAGCGGGCTTCTTTGAAACAAGATGCTCGGTGTGAGTTAGCTTTTGAAACCTGGGAGAGCCCCGATCTGCCTAAACAAGGAACCAAAAAAATAACCACATTAACAAGGGCATTGCTTCTTGTCCTGCCTTCAGGAGCTTTGGAGAATAGCTTGACTCCCTCTTCTTTGGGGCAGCCCCTGAGATATTGGAAGACTGCTATCATGTCCCCCCCTCGTCCTTCTCTTCATTAAACTAGACATACCCAATTCCAGCATGTCTGGTCAGCTTGACTGGACCAAAGACTGTGGCGAGGTCCCCGTTGACCAGGTTCAAAAAAGCACCAGGGCCCCCACAAAAGACCTTTACTGCAGTCAAATCCCTAGGCGTTCTTTTGAACAGAAAAAATAAAGCTATTTATTGCAAAAGAAAGCTCTGCTCAACGCACAAGATGGTACAGGCAGCTAAATGCTGGTGCGAAACAATGCCCCTGGAATTTGAAAATTTAAAAAAAGGAAAAGCTATTTTCGCTCCACAGGGCTTAATGTGTGGTGGCAACAGGCCTGTAATTTTAGCATTTGTCTTAGGAAAAAAACAACAACAACCTCACACACACAGAGAAGTGGGCATCTTTGCAGAGCTGGAAAACAAAGGAAACCAATTTTTTTTTTTTAAAAAAAAAAAAGCAAACTGACCCCCTTCCCCTTCAAACTCGGCAATACTTTGCTCAAGCCATCCAAGGAGCTACAATGCAGATTGTGTCTTTTGGGGTTACTTTAATCTTAGCCTCCCTCTTTCCCACTGATGTCTTCGTTTTTCTTTTAACTGGTTTCCAGTCTTTACTGCTGTTCTAGCTAACGTCTCGAGGGCTTTGGCCAGATATATTAACTGAACAGGAGAAGAACATCTATCTAGCAGTGAGAACAAGACAAGAAAAAAAAGGGAGGATTAGAGGAATTTGATGCATCTGGATAAAAAGAGGTTATGTAGGAGAGGAGGGGTCAAACGTGTCATAAGTCACGAATCGCTGCGCTGGCAAGAATCTTGAACGCCTTTTTTATCTCCTGCTCATTTCCTTTGACGGTTGGTCGGTCAGATTCTTGTAGAGAGCTTAAGCTTGCAATAAATCTTTATACTGGTTTGAACTGCCCGAGAATTTCCTGATCTGACAGATTAACTCAAGGGTGATGAAACTATGTTTACTGGTGGTTACTGGCCACGTTAACGCTTTGGTTATCTCCAATACTGGTTTGGCAACTTCCGGAAAATGCAGCCACCAGTACAGATCATGTCTCAAGGGATCTCATTCAGATGCCTTTCTCCCGGGTTGTGATACAACTGTCACAATGAGAGAATGCTCCCCCCCCCTTTGGGGGCACAAAACTCCTTAGCAGAAGAGTTAAGAGAAAGTTACAAACACTCCAAGATCAAAGATCTAACTTTGCTTCAGGCATCAGGAAGAACTACCAGCCACCCAAGCGATGGCTGTTTTTTAACACTTGCTGCCGTTGCAACATCCCTGTGATCACGTGATCAAAACTCAGACACTTGGCAACTGGCACGGACTTATGACAGTTGAAGTGTCCCGGGGTCATGTGATCAGCTTTTGTGACCTTCCGACGAGCAAAGTCAACAGGGAAACCAGGTTCATTTAACAACTGTGTTTCCAACTTAACAGCCTCAGTGATGCACTTATCAACTGTGGCAAGACAGGTCCTAAAATGAGGCCAAACTAATTCACAGTCTTGCTTAGCAATGGAAAGTTTGGGCTCAACTGCAGTCGTCGAGTCAAGGACTATCTGTAAAAAAAAAACCTGCCAGATACAAAGTGTGCGCTCAGTTTGTGGGTGATCCATCCATCCCAAATATCTGACAAGATAAAATATATCCAAAAATGGCATTTTGAAAGGATATCGTTTGTGACAACAGCATGTGTTTTAAAAAAATAAATAGTGTATTTAAGAAAGAATGGGAGCTTACTTTTACATCTCAGGGGACCGCATAAATGTATTGCAAAGTTTGTAAAAATTAACAGAACAATATAACAGAGTGGGAAGGGATCTTCAAGCAGGAGACCCTACCCCATTTCAGACAAGTGGCTTTCCAATCTCTTCTTTAAAAATCTCCAGTGATGGAGCACCCACAACTTCTGGAGGCAAGCTGTTCCATTAGTTAATTGTTCTGGGAACTGGAAAGTAGTACAGTTTTTAATTTCTATTATTTCAAAGTAGTACAATATCTAAATGGAAAATATCATACTTTGGAGACTTTACGGAAAGACCCAACTCTCTCTCAAGAAGGCTCCCTTGCTGGAAAGGACACAAGGACTCAGTTACAATGGTGGAGGAAGACCTGAAGAAACAGGTCAGTGACCTGTAAATCTACCTGTGTGATCTCAAACAGCTGGCATGGATTTCACCGCAAATAATCCACCAATCAAATCATGAAAATGCATCTTTTATTCTTGTTCAATTGCAGCCAACTGGTTGAGAACAGCATTCTAAAGAAAGGCTGATTTAGATATAGAAGTTGGAAGGGACCTTGGAGGTCCTCTAGTCCAACCCCCTGCTCAAACACAAGAACCTATACCGTTGCAGACAGGTGGCTGTCCGGACTCTTCTTCAAAGCCTCCAGTGGTGGAGCACCCAGAACTTCTGGAGGCAAGCCCTTCCACTGCTTGATTGTTCTCAACCAGTTTCTAGTCAGAAGGATAGTTATCTTCTATGGTCCATTAATATCTAGATATCTAGAACGCTCTTTAACACCATCTCAAAAAATAACTACATTAGCCACGATGCAAGTTTTATTCCCTCCCAAATTCTAGGCAATGAAAAAAAAAAAAACCACAGTCGACTTTCAAAAGCGTGCAACTTTCGCTTCAATTTTGAAGTTTTTTAAGAGCTATGGAAATTATGGGGTTTTTTCCCCAAGCCTTTGAACAAAGAAGTACTTTTTAAATTCCCTTGCTTTTTTCAGATCGCGTTGAAAAGGCCCAGCCGAATACAAGCCAATTCTCCAAATTACGGGTTTGAACCGAGTGTTCCCGATTTGAGGAAACAGC